AACAAGCCGAAAGGACGAACGCGCGAGCAAAGATGGTGTTCTAAATAAAATAAATTCGATTCGCATTTGCCGAGCTGCGAACTTAGTGGGCTGCGGCAGGGCTGCAGGGGGGCGTCGTCTTGTCCAGAGGCCTCTGCTCCACCAGCACATTCATCGCACTTTTTGTGAACAGTTCTTCTGTGTGTGTGTGCGCGCCTTGAAGACTCACTGCCACATTAATTTCACTTCTTATAAATCTCGTAAGATGTTCCATTTTTGTTTTTGGTGCTTTTTTACTGCCGGCAAGCGAATTTGCTTGCACATAAATTACTTGATATTAAAGGCAAGCCACTGCCGCTTTAAAGTCCTGCTTAAAGCCCATATATCATCTTCTATCGGCACAATTGGGAAAGCACTGCGTACCGTTTTCAATTTGTGTCAATATTTTAATCGTTCTCGATTAATTTCGTTTGTGAGCATCATTTTTCAATAAGCTAAATTTGTTTGCCCCACAAATATTTACGGAAGCCTAATTTCGGCAATATTTTCCAATTACATTAGGATTATGTTTGAGCAGGTTGTTCGCGGCGTGAGGTCTATTGGGATTACGTGGTTAATTTGAAAATATATATTGGGTATATAAGCGAGCAGCCCTGTTGCTTGCCAGAAGTTTGTAAACTCTTAAACAATTCTATAAATAAGTGGAATGAGGTCGTCTGGCCTACTTATATTGCTCCCGTACTGAAGAAACTCTGATGGGAGACATCGTATATATCACACTCCCATAATCAGCTATCCATTTAATAACCTCTCGTTAACGCAAAAAGTAAAAGGTTGCATTTCGCGCACAGTAAGTAGAATTGAAAAGTATATTCCGCTAATGCATAAATTGGGCGATAGCCATAAAAATAATGGTAAATAAAATGCGCCAAAATGTAATGAAAACAAACAAAACTATAAATTCGAACTAACCCATAAAACTTTATTGGCAAAACATTTAGTGTGCACATAAACATGAAAGTTTTATTCTTTTTGTTTTTGTGGCTCCGTTGTATATACAGTATAACCAGTTTATACAGTAAATACAGATACATGTATATGTATATACATATTTAATCATGCTAAAAGCCAAATTAGGCTACTTGCACTAACAACTACAACTTTTTCGTTTATCTACCTTTGATTCCTGGCCGGGTAATCAAAGTTAATTTGTTAAGTATGTAGAGTTTTATAATATTCGCCAAAATTTTATAATATTGAACTTTCCCACATATTTATTATCTTGAATCTACTTTTAATAAAAATGTTAGACTATTGTGGCAAGAACTGCCAACAAATTTTTCTTCAACAGAAAAAGACAAAGCGAATGAAACAAAGAAGAAAAAAACTTGGTTGTAAAAATTAAATGGCTTGATATGTTATTTGATTAGGTTTTCTTGGAAATATAAAAAACTAAACAAAATATCTATTGATTTATGTGACAATCATTTATCGTTATCGACAATTACAATTTACAAAAATAAATGAATAAATAAATAAATTAAATTAAACTACAAAAAAATAAAATAAAAAAAAAAAAATATAAAAAAAGACTTACTTTACTACTACTACTTTATTTATTTTTAAATTTAATTTTAATTTGTTTAATTTAATTTAGTTTATTTTTTTATTTTATTTATTTATTTTTTAATTAATTAAAAATAATTAGAAAACGATATAAAAAAAAGAGTAAGGGATTAAAAGGCTAAACAAAAATTAAAAAGAAAATACATACATATGTGTATGTGTATATGCATTTTATAACATTTTGAAGTTTTCCACAAAATATAAGAAATAAATTTCATTCACCAGTAAAGTTTTTGCTTTTCAATTCATGGCAAAGAGTTCTCTACTTGCATACACATATATACAATATATATGACAAAATTCATTATACATACAAATATATGTACATATGTATGCAAGAGCAAATATAAGGCATATTCAATTATTGTTCAGCTGATTAAAAGAGTATTTAATGCATGAACAAACCTTAAAGACATGTGTAAATGGCTCTTGAAGTGCATATTCTTATGGTACATATATTTCGACCCAATTAAGTAGCAATTATAGAAACCGAAATTCCCACAGGTACGCCTAATTTATTTAGGTAGTAATGGCCAAACGAACCTGCAGCTGCCCAGCTTAGCTTTCGGCAAATTGTCATATTGATTTTGGCCTTGTTCCTCATGTTGTCTCTCAAATTTACATGTGTCCTGTGCGAGGACCCAAAAGCAAGCAGATGGCATGGGAACTACCTCGACAATTAAGCTAAAACGATTCTTTGTGTGGTTTACGTTGACCGTAATTATAAGTTAAGCTGCTATTAATTATGGCGCCTAATAGAGCTCTGGAGGAGGGCGGATCCCGAAACTCACATATGCTTAACCTCAATGTCACATCCACACGCAGGGAGGTGAAGAGAGTGTGACATAGAGAGAGAGAGAGAGAGGGAGGTAGAGGGAGAGAGTTATCGCCGACATCAGCAAAATGTATCCGTAGGCTAATCTGTCGGGAGCGTTGAGCAAGTCACTTCCGCCTGCACCGCCCCCAGCGCAACCACCTTTCACCCGACCCAAATGAAATCCGAATTAATTTGCCAACAGCGAAAGTTTTGCATCAAATTTGCATGTCAGCCACACTCGACCCCACCCACACCTCCGCCCGCCCAACTGTTGTTGCTAATTAGCAATAAATTTGGATATTTGCCGCAATTGTAAATAGCTGCAAATATGAAATATTGCTGTTGATGCCGCGCACTTGATACAATATTGGGGTTAATCAGTTGGTAATCCCTTGGCACAGCCAGCTAGCAATTTGAAAAGTAATCAAGCGCAGTGGAGAGAGAGAGAGAGAGAGAAATAGAGAGACAAAGAGAGAGAGAGAGAAGGAATAGCATTTTCCCAGCTACGCCAACGAATAAGTGAAGGGAGCTCAAGTGAGAGACGCATAAATCAATTTGAAATGAAATGTACACTCCATGTACTTGGCCCGTCTGTCTTTATTTCGAGAAAATCTGCTACGTACTCCGGCTATTGGCACACACACACATATACATACACACACACATACATACAAACAATGTTGCTGCGCTGTTCTACATAAATTTTCCGTGAAAATCTGCATAAAATCAACGCTAACAAGCTCCATCCACGGAAGCCAGACAAACATCCTTGGCTGCGTTTGCTTCTTGCCGGGCTTCTTTTTATCGGAGGAATGGGCCGGACGGATCTCAGTTACAATTCCGTACAATGTTCCCATGCTGCAATCACTTCCAACAGCTGTTGTTGCTGTTGCCAGCAAATTGACTAAAACTAAGTTTGACTGAACAATGCGGGAAATTAGCTGAAGAGAGCTTATAGAGAGCTGGAGCCCAAGCTCTCTTGTAGTTAACCATGTACATGTTTAGAGATAGAGAGAGCGAGACGGAGATAAAGTTTAATAACCTGCATGAATAAACTAGAATTCATATTTAAACTCCAGTTCGAACAGCTTTTAAAGTGTCTGCAGCGATTTCGACATCGACAACTGCGAACTATGCTTAAAATGAACTCGAGCAAATAATCTACTGCATTGTGGCCATAGTCGAACAGGACTTGGGTAATGCACCAATTAATTTAGGCCAAGAATGCAATAGTTTGAGAAACTTGCGAGATGCGGTCAAGCGGAACTGATACTCAATTTGGAGCTTCACTTTCTCTCCGACAATCGAAATGGTCGGAGAGGCAAATAGCGTGAACCCAACTTGAGGGGGGAGGAGGGCCGCCAAACACTAATTGCCAATCAAGCTGAGCTGTTAGGCAGGTGGGCTTGAGCCATTTTGCGAATTGACCAATCTGGAAAGGGGGCGTGGCAATAGGACTATGAACTGTTGACACGGAAACTAACTTAACTCTGGTTTGCAGCAAATGTAAAACAGAAAGTTTTGCAGTCAAGTTTACGACTGTATGCAGCAGTCGTAAACTTGGAGCAGGCTGACGACTGCGGACAGCCCCTATACCATCTGCGATTATATATGTACATATACATATATGTGTATAGGTGTGTATATACATATATGTAAGACGCAACTAGACTGTAGCTTCAGCTGCAACGCTCCATGGATAACAAACGACTTTATGTTTATGTAAATGACGAGAAATACAATGGCATCCGGAGTGCAAAATATGATCAACGCACGTTAAGGGCCCCATTTCAGGCGCATAAACTTTAAATTGCCCGACTCAAATACAACAGCTCGGCAAATGTATCTATTTTTAAATAAATAAACATACATATGTATGCACACACACACACACGGCTGGAAAGCTACAATACATAAAAATTCCATTATAGAAAATCCGAATGTCCTGACTATTTTCTTTACTTTGAACTCCATTTGCATGCAGTCAGAGTTGCGAAATGGCTTATGCAAAGCACTTTACAGCCACGAAGCAAAACCTTTACCAAGCTAGCACCGTCAAAAAATTTGTAAAAGCGGCTCATTAAATTAAACAATTCAATAATGAATGCAACTTGACAGAGAGGTACGCCCAGTCATTAGTTGGGGCGGATCTGATGGAGATACAGACCAACCAAAGATAACCATTTTTAAATTCATAACTATACATGTACTTCTTAATTTGTTTGGGAAATTTTAATGAGATTTCATATGAGCGGTAATTGGCAGACGAAAATTGCATCTATGGAGCTGAAAACACGCCCAGCTAATATAGGTATGTATGTATTTGCTAGCATTCAGCTAATACCATACAAATTATTGTGACTTTAGCTAAATGCGCCTAACTCATCATTAAGTGCGTAAGTATGAGCTTGTGTACACATTAGTTCGTTTAGCTCCAACATATACTTATTCCGATTACACGCACAGTCGAACTGTGAATATTCAGTGCCACTGCCACGCCCCATAAATAATTGAGCCTGCAATGGAAGCAAATAAAACGAGAATGACTTACCATTGCTTCTCGCAGTTCGAATTAAGGGCCCGCGATACAATATCATGTCTCGATTGACATTAACGATAGGTTGGCTGTGTCTGTGTCTGATGCGGCCAGACGTGGCCTGGGCCGATCCTTTGCTAGTGGAAATATCCAATGGGCAGCTGCGTGGAAGGGACAGGGGCGACTACCATAGCTTTGAGTCGATACCGTATGCGGAACCCCCGATTAACAATCTTCGCTTTGAGGCCCCGAAACCTTACAAACGTCAGTGGAGCGAAGTATTTGATGCCACCAAGGCGCCAGAGCTCTGTCTGCAGTTCACTTTACTTCCTCATGGTACAATAGTCGGCAAGGAGGACTGCCTTACCGTGAGTGTGTACAGGCCAAAGAATGCAAGTCGAAGCAGCTTTCCCGTCATGGCCTACATTCACGGAGGAGCGTTTATGTTCGGAGGTCCCATCGAATATGGGCACGATTTCATCATGTCTACTGGTAATTTCATTTTGGTGAAGATCAGCTATCGATTGGGACCTTTGGGTTTCCTGAGCACGGGCGATGCAGATTTGTCGGGAAACTTTGGTCTGAAGGATCAGCGTTTGGCTCTACAATGGATCAAGGAGAATATCGCCAGCTTCGGCGGAGAGCCGGAGAATATTATGTTAATGGGTCACTCTGCAGGCGGCGCTTCAGTTCACTACCAACTGTTGTATGGAGGACTAGAGGGTTTGGTTAAGGTGGCTGTTTCGCTCAGTGGAACTGCATTGTGTCCTTGGGCTACTCAATCTGATGAAAGACAAAAGGCGTTGAAGCTGGGGCATGCATTGGAATGTAACGTGAATGGGAATTCATTGGAACTGAAGCACTGCTTGCAGTCAAAGGACCCCAGGGACATAGTCGGCGCTGTGGAGCACTTTATGGTATTCGGCTACGTACCGTTCGCGCCCTTTGGCCCAGTTATTGAGGCTCCCGACACTGTAGAGCCTTTCGTCACCCAACATCCTGTCGAGGTAATTAAGAGTGGAAAATATTCGCAGATTCCTTGGCTTTCGTCTTATACTCTCGAGGCAGGAGGATTTAACGCGGCAATTTTCCTGAAAAAGGATGATGAAGACGGCAGGGAATTAATTGAAGTATTAAATATGCGTTGGAATGAACTGGCACCAGATCTATTGTTTTATCGCCACATAACGAACAATACTGAAGATCTGAATAGGTATTCGCAAGAACTGAAGTACCAATATTTGGGGGATCGCAACTTCAGTTTTGACAGTTATTTGGACTTGCAGCGCATGTTTACGGATATTTTGTTTAGGAACCCTATTCAGAGAACTCTCGAATTGACTCGTTCACAACGAAAGAGTCCATTTTACTGCTACGCTTACGACAATCCTCCCGATTCTGGTGTAGGACAGTGGCTGTCTGGACGGACTGATGTATTTCTAGGTAAAGTGAAGGTTGAGAAATTTGATATTCCAGCTAAATTGATATTTTTTGTAGGCACTGTACATTGCGACGATCTTTTCCTCATGCTGAACAGCGTTATACATGGAACACTGCGTTCGGATGAGCAAATTATATCTAAAAATCTCTTACAAATGCTGTTAGACTTCGTGGAAAGCGACAAAGGCCAGCTCTCCTATGATACCTGTCAGTTTAAAGATATTGCAGG